AGTCTCAGCTTCAGGCAAGTCACGAGTTTCTTGAACCTCGGATGAGGCTTCAGAGGCAAGCTCTTGCTCATCAGCTACAACCTCAGGGGCTTCAACCTTGGCAGCTTCAACCTTAGGAGCGTCAACCTTGGCGACTTCAACCTTGGGAGCTTCAGTCTCAGTAACTTCAGCCTTGATGACTGGAGTTGGCTCGTTGACAGTAATGTCACACCAAAGTCTGTGACCGAATTTATCACCAGTAGGAGTGGTAAGACGCCAGTATGAAATGAAGCTACCGGCACGGTTTGGAGTTCTCATCAAGACAGTGAAACCGTATTCTTGACCAGGAGCGACTTCAGTATAACAAGTTGTGCTCTCAGCAGCACTGACAAGTTCATGTACACTGGCTGGGTGTTCAGGGTCAACAGCACACATGTTATCGCCACCAACGAATCTAACACTGCAACCTGCAGGCCAAGATGTCTTACCACCATTTCGGAGATACCAGGTTTGTTCGAAAACCGAGTTTGGTGTCATGATGGTACCATCAGCAACTGCATCACGAACAAAGTGTGCAACCAATTCCTCTTCAACGGGTGCTGAAACTTCTTCAGTGGCCTCCTCGACAACTTCCTCCTTGACCTCAACCGGTTCAACCTCAGCAGCAGGCTTAACCTCAGCGACAGGCTCAACCTCAGCAACAGGCTTAGCCTCAACAACAGGCTTAACTTCAGCGACTGTTTGAACTTGTGTTGCAGCATTAGTGGATTGAGTTGGAGTAGTCTCAGTTGCCTTTGAATGTGTTGGAGTAAAACGATCACCCATTGGTGCCATGGGTTTACCATTTGGATGATCACCAAGAGTTGTAACGCTAACATTGCGAACAGGTGTCTTGAACTTGATCAAAGGATGAGTCTTGTTGTGAGAGTTGGATGGACTGGCCTCACAAACAGCACAGAAATCGGTGTCATGGCAGACAGCACATTTGTAACGATCTCCAGTGATATAAGCGGGAGAAATGTTACCATCACCATCTTCGGTGTGGTGCTTGTGTTTGCAAAGAGGTCCATCACAGAAAATGCCATGATGACGAACTCTGCTAGCTTGTTGTTGAGCACCCGAGCGACTGACAGGTTCATAGAGAGGTACAAATCTGTGACCTTGGTGGATGAAGGCAGCATTCGCAATGCATGCATCGCAGTAATCCCAATCTGGACAATCAAGGCACTTGTGACGAACACCAAAGATGTTTCTATCACATCCGTCACAAATAGCAGAGTGAGAGGCGTTACGACCTGCAGCGAGAAGAGCAGAGGCCATTGGACCAAAGTTAGCATCCTCATCCACGAAAGCGAAAGCGTGCTTAGGGTTGTGACCATGCTTCAATGATACATGACATTGAACACACAAATCGAAATCTTCACAATCGATACAAGTGATAAACTTATCTTCGGACAATTCGGAGATGCAGCTGTTGCAAGTGCGAGTAGGAACCGGCTCCTTCTCTTCGACTGCGGGAGCGACGAGGGTAGTCTTGGAGTCGGAGAATTGAGGCTTGTTATCTCTATAGCCAGAAAGTTGTTTAGGGGCGAGCTTTTCGGTTGTACTGTGAATGTATTGACCCTTATCCACGATGCGTTTAATCAACCAATGATCACCATTGCAGGTGACTCCAGCGTCGTTACACTCTGGGCACAAGTCGAAGTCACCATTATCACAGGTGCTGCAATGATAGTGGATGTCTGGAATAGAGACACTGCAGCTATTACAGTAAACGGAGAACGAGCTGACAACAGGTTCTGGTGACTTTGAGCTTACTGGAGCTTCGCCATCAGGATATCTGCCCAACAAGTAGGCAGGAAGTGGCTTTGCGTGTCCGATTGCTGTTTGGTAAGCAGCGTGAGTATTCGAGACAGCCATCTCATCAAAGGATTTTTGTAGGGAGATAATTGCTTCAATCTGCTCTTGTACTTTGGATTGCACTTGCACTGCGGCACTTGACTCCTTGTGTTGTGCTTCTGGTCTAGCCTCCGAGTCGAAAGCTACGCTGCGTCTGGCGTTAGGGGTCTCAGTGGTTGATGAGTGTGATGCAGGAATGGTGAATGAGGGGTATTCCGGTTGTGCTACAACAGGCTTGGCTGAAGTTGGTTCTTCATCTTCGACGGAAGCTGGCTTTGGCATGGCTGGTTCTTTGTCCTTGATGGTGACCTTGAGTCTAAGCTTAAGCTTAGCCTTGGCAGCACGATACAATTGTTTGTAAACCGAAGGATTGGTTGCATCGAGTACGATGAAGGCAGCAGCACTATCGGAGTATCTCTCGAAGATAGCCTCAGATGTTGCAGGGATGGCGAGAAGGAATCGAAGCTATGTAGATGATAATGATTAGCTATATTCACATGATTTCATCAAGATCTATCGTGATTAAACACTACAATACGTTTGCAGAATCAAGAAGCTTTGTTTGTAGATAAATTGATGTTATCACATACCTTATCGGGAAGAGTGCTAGCACCGAGATCACGAAGAGGAAGCTTGAATCTTCGATTGCTACCCTCAATATTAACCTTGAGGGTAACCAGAGTATCTGGAGTTGGGGCTGTCATGGACGCCATGATTGAAATTAACAAATCTATTGAAGAGAGTCGTTGTCAGTAAATGTGCAAGAAGTGATGAAGTGATGTCGAGAGAGAGCGGTGACCTTGCAAGGGAATGATGCGGGTGCCGGTAGAGCGAAGATGCCAGGAATCGATCGGACTTACTTATCTATCTTATTATGAAAATCGATTCTTTGAATGGGATGTCTTCGAAGAATCGAAGGATTCGATATTTGTAGAAACCGATCAAAGAATTAGAGGATGTTCTTTTGATCTATTGTGAAAAGGGAATTGTTGTAGGTAAAGTGGATTGATGCGTTTTTGATTGATGTTGTAAGTTGTATGTTGTAGGAATAGAGGATGGAGAAGATGTGGAGAGGAAGATGTAGGTAGGTAGTAGGTGGTAGGTGGTAGGTGGTAGATGGTAGGTAATGTGTAAGTCAGATGGAGTGTAGGTAATAACTTATAAGTGTTGGGTTTAGCTTACGAAAACCAGTTATAGGCAAAGAAAGCCAATCGCTAAAATCAATAAGCAAGGCTGCCGTAGAAGGGTACGTGGAAAGGCCTGTAATTGTTGATTGTACCAAAGGGTGAATCGAATGTCTGGGTAGGTAATCAATTAATGAATATGATCAATTTTTGCCTCTTTCTATTTGATTCTATTGTATGGTAGACGATGTTTAACATCTCGCTGTCCAAGATCCATCCCCTTCACCATAAGCTCTAGATAATCATTTTGAATCATCTCCAGCTTCTCGTTGGCGATTACACCCAAAACAGTTTCATTATCATACTGCATCACACTGCATCACACTACATTACATCTTACATCTCACATCTTACATCCCACTCCAATCTCCATCCCACCCATCCCCTCATTATCAATACTCCAGCTTTCCTACTGCCGCTCTCTCACTACTCGCTCCCTCCTTTATCTAGCATCCCTACTAAAAAGTCCCCAAGCTCCAACTCCTCTTCTCCCAGCAGCTAGATTCTCAGCTAGACTCTCAACTAGACTCTCAGCTAGACCCCCAAACTAACCCCCCAACTAACCCACTCCAGTAACTACCTCCAAACTCAATCGATATTCAGCATCGGTGATAATATCCCTACCCAGCAGTCCCCTCTCTAAATGACGAAGACCAAGCATTGAGCTCATAGACTTACCTACAAACCTCTCATTCTCACAATCACGAGGGCATTCAAGGTCTTCAATAACAAGCAAGCACAGCAAGCCATCAATCAATCGGTGGGGATTGGAGTGCGAGGATATATACTCAACACATTATATCCTATTCGGTCACTTACCTACTTACATACCGAGTATCTCTAGGTACTAGGTAGATAATACACTATCTCTCTCCATCTTCATCTCGCACAGTCTACTCTCGCTATCCATCTTCCTCTTGGCCAATGTCGAGAATGAATAATTCACAATAAGATAGATATATATATATACACAACACACACCTAGCATTCTCCGATTCTCAAAGACTTCGATTCCTTACACACTATAGCATTACAAAATCTACAACAGTATTCCAGCATCTATAACACTATCACAGAATCTATCCCCACCCCAAACCACCCCATACAAAATCTCTATATCATATACCTACCTACCTACAAGTCTACTAGCTAGCCCAACACTCCATAATGCAATCACATCGTACCAAATCCTCCCCCTCCTTCCCTTCTCTTCCTACCTCCCTCCTACCAACCAATCATTTGCCTCCTCTCCCCTCTCCTCATCTCGCCACACCACACACCATATACCACACGCCACACGCCACGCAATCCTTCCCCCCTCCCTCTTCCTTCCTTCCTACCTTCCCGATTTCCAATCAAATCAAAGTCTTGAAACATACAACCACACATACAAAACACAAACAAATACAAACCGCCTCAATAAGGCTCACCATTACACACGTACGCATATACGGAGAGTGTGCTCCGAAATCCCGAATTCTATACAGTGCAGAGTACGAGGTAGGTAAAATCTAGAACATTTAGGTACTATTATCAAATCACCAAGAACTTCACACATGCCTAACAATAAGAATAATAATTCACATTTAACAACCTATGTAGAATCGAAAGGAGGAAGGTAAAACTGATTAAAAAAGTACTTACCCTATCCATATCAAGATGAAAACCCCAGAACGAGAATTACTACTTATGAAAGTGCTTGTTTCCTCCATTCCCTTCCCTTCCTTTGCTTTGCCTTCTTTCCTTCCTCCAACTGAATCAAACGTCCCACGAAATCAAAACTCAAGAAAAAATCAAGGACCACGCCACGAACCCCGGCAATGAACAACTTGTGTTTGCAGAAAAGTGCTCGTACAACCGTACGCCTATAAAAGAGCATTTCCTTCCTATCCACCTAGCACCTTGCTTATCTATTTTCCCTCATCCATCAAATCCATCTTAAACTTCCAATCCCATCAATAACCATCTTTCACTCGTGGTATCCAGTTGATGCGACCACATGTCAAGGGTTGTCAATTCGAATCCAACCCAACGAAGACTCTTAAGGAAAGTCGATCTATCTCCTTCAGGAATTGATCGATCAACATTAATAACGACTTTTGAAACGGCGAATACTTCATCCGCGAGTTCAATGAGTGCCATAAGTCTATTGCTCATTAGTAACTTGAATTGTGGTGACGACAACAATGTAATCCTTACCCCTGTTTTAAATCCCTCCCAATGACTGAATCATCAAAGAATGCAAATAGTGTTTTCTCATCACCATTTCCGCCAACAAATCCACGAAAACTGCATCCTCCCGTATAATCCCAAATTTCGACCCAAGCATCGATTGAATGGCCTGATTTGACGATACCAAAGTAATTATCATGCGTATCCACATCATCGTCAAGACTTGAATACGTGTCCGCACCCATCACGTTTGAGTCACTACTAGCACTTTCTTCTTCACCAAGAAAAATGGTTTTCATGTTCTCGCAGAAGAGTCTCTCACACTCTTCCCGGATGGCGTACGCTGCCCCCTCTTTGCGACTTGTAGTTCTACCTCGATTCTTCATTGAATGATTGATCAATGCGAATTCGTTGGCAGATGTCAAGGCCGCAAGAGGGGGACTTGACGGAGGGGATATTGACCCTGAGCGGACCTCAGGGATACCACTTTGCCCTGTTGGAAGGATATTAGTATTGGATGTTGGTTTGCGAAAGTTGGGTTGATGGAGATGAAAAGGGGAAAACTAACCCGCCAGCGCCGGTAGTGGAGTAATGGAAACCAGAAAGACGAGCGGAAGAATCGACGATGTAGCAGCTGGCGAGGACGTTGGCTTGAGAGCCGACTACCTCGCCGCCACAATTACTACTACTATGACTGTTTTTCATACTTGGAGCCATTTTTCTCGAAAATTGCCAGTTTTGCGGTGTGAAAGGTTTGGGGATAGAATTTGACAAGTTAGTCGGGATTTTGATTGATTTAATTGCGATTCGATTGAACACGATTTGATTTATGTGCGACGATGAATTGAAGTGATGTTTGCAGGTGGGATCTGTAAGTTGGAGATCCTCGACGTGATAGTTATTTGATTTCTTCTTGTGAATTTCGGAGTTTGCACTATTTGATAATCGGTGACTGGAAGGAGAAAAGAGGCGGCTCTGGCTCATTTTTCTTTCAATGTGGATTTTGGGATTTAAACAAAGGCAGAAAAGTTAGTTTCTAATTTCCCCGCTTTGAATGAACCAATGATAATGAATGCTCATGCAACGCAACACAACAACACAAGCAAGCGCCATGACTCTAACCAACTAGAAATTTCTAGGAGGATTCAATTTCCTGTTTTCAGTGAAGTTTTGTTATTATTATTAATCAATGTGATACAAGAATGAATTGACACCACATCTCGTAAGGTCATGTGTGAAGGATATCATATATTTTTGGTGATTTATTCATCAGGAATGAATTACCACGGAGGACAGAGAGTGTGTAGTAAGCAGGAAACAAACAAGAAATCGCCTTTATTCCATTCATTCAACTTCCCCGGGCCTACCTAACTTCCCTAACTTCCCTCGAAACAGAAGCTGCCAAGGAAATACGAGCGTGTACCATCTAAATACGACATTTGATGGTTCTAATGTTGAAGTCACGACTCACACAACACCATGCATGCATTTCACCATATATTTCATCATACCGACAGTTTGTTGGATCCATTCTCCATTGTCATATGTACCTTATTATATCTAGGGATACCTCCACTTGCTGATATACCGGTAGCAAACCACAGTATTCAGAGTTCAGAGTTCAGAAGTAAGAATTAAGAGTTCAAGTCAAAGAGCAAGATGCTACTATAATTCACAGCGTATTACATTGATCCGAAAAGGGAGCAGCTTCTTCTCCCAATTCACATTAACCGCGGGTACATACCTAACACTCACATCGCATTGGGATGAAAGGACACCTGAATCACCGGGTTTGAGATGAACAACAAGCCTTTCCTGCGTGTCCATATGTATGCTAGTAGATTATGCAAAACATTGTTAGAAGGATAGAACGAATATGCAGGTAGTCACTCCACCCCTGTGTACAATGGCCCCTTTCTTTTTGGGAAAGAATAAATGGAGTTTTGTCAAGAATGAACAAGATCTTCAATCTTGTATCTCTCATCTCATGAACATCAACCATCAGAAATCATCATCCTGACATCCTGACATTCTGACATCCTGACATCCTTATACATCCAAACATCATCCATCCTTACAATCAGCTTATCGATAAGCCAATCCAGGCAAGTGACAGTAAGTGAGGGTAAACTATCGACATTATCTATAATTACCCTTTACGACCTACCTTGGCTCCGAGATACCCAGCTCCCTAGTCACCTAGTACTCTCACCAGCTCCATCTATCTTCTGCAAAGCAGAGGCACAATCACACAACCCACGATAATACTCTGTCTGTACAAATGAATGCGACAACACATCTCTGCACAACTGCAATACCTAGTAAAGTGGGAAGTGGTAAGGGAAAAGTGGGAAAAAACACATGATTTATGTAAGTCGTCTCGGTCGTACATATCTACAAATGTATCCTCAATTGAGTAAGTCTGTCTATATATATCGGTATTCAAATCGGTATCTTATTTCACACGCACATGTCACTTACCACGCTATCCTATTATCTGTTCTTGTCCTACGACATCAGATTAATCTAGGTAGTCTTGCTTATAATATCTCTCATCAATCATTTGAATGGGGAGAAGAAGCTACTAGGTATGAGATTGTATACATGTAAATACCTCATTTTTATCCCTCAATTCTTTGCACTCTCTACCTAGGTATCTCTACATCTACTCGATCCATCTCATATCCTTCAATATCTTCCATATCTTCAAATAAAGCTCACAAGATTCCCCAATTTCACATGCGAAACTCATCTACACACACATACAAATGCCAATAATAGCATTGTCTCATCTATAAAAGTGAGTGATCATGCCATCCCTTTCCGTCGCGCAAACAGTCTTATCTTTAAGACCTTTGAGACTTTCCCACGCGACTCTTTGTGTGTGTGATGTTTTAGCTTTATTTACCTATTTCTTACTTGAATCCCTCGTTTCCCCTATTCACCATCAGGTCACATCACCGCAGCTTTCTAATCTTGACGTTCAGACAATATTCAATCATACTTCTAACCACGATACACCTTTTATGACCACACAAATCTTCCATACTATTAGCTAGCTAGCAAGCAGGAGAAGTAGCTATCTGCGAGTAGAACAAAAGAAGCCTCGTCCCAAAAATGTCCAACGAACGCCTCACATTCCCAACCTATCTTCTCCCTTCCTTCTCGTTCCCCTTTCGTCGTCGCACATCCCCTCCCCCTAGCGCAAAAACCGCATCCCTCAATACGAGTACAAGCGCAAACCCTTTGGTTCCAGGATTAAGCTATTCGCCTACGAGTAGCTGCAATGAAACTCCCCTCGCATCACCTACATCTGGGAGTTTTTTGTCGCGCATCCCATCTACTTCTACCCACAAGAGTGGGAGTTGGAGTGAGAATGAGAATGAGCACGAGAATCATGATTTAACCTCCACTCCCACCTTTCCTCCTCGCACCAACCCTCTCCCGCAACCTCATCTCTCCCGTCCCTTCCCCTCTACCATCCGCTGTCTCACCTGCTCCACCCACATCTCCTACTCCTCGCAAATAATCTCCAAAGGCTTCACCGGTCGCCACGGCCGCGCCTATCTCGTTGCTCCGCCTCCTTCTTCCCCGGTTCCTCAAATCCCTCCCTTTCCACCCACCGCTCACGATCGCTCTAAAAATATCTCCAACGTCCGCGTCGGTCGTCCTGCAAATCGAGAATTGTTAACAGGTCATCATGTCGTCGCAGACGTCAACTGCGCAGTTTGTAATACGCTGTTAGGGTGGAAATATGTGGATGCGAGAGAGGCGGGCCAGCGATATAAAATTGGAAAGTTTATTTTGGAAACGAAGAGGGTGGGTGTTGTGGAGACGTTTGAGGATGAGGATGTGCGGACTCATTCGCTTGATTTTCGGGGTGAGGATGATGATGGTTTGGGATTTGGGGGGTGGAAATGGGGGGTTCTGGGAAATACGGTGGAGGGAGGAGAGATGGAGAGTTACATACTTGGAATGTGGAAACGAAAGAAGAGGAAGAAGCGAAGGGATGGGTGAATTTTGATTCGGAAGATGAAGATGAGTGTGAGGAACTTTTTGCGGGGATTTGGGATGCCGAGGTGGCGCAGAAAAGAAGGATTAGGAGGGTTGATCGGAGGAGGAAGGAGGTCGAGAGGGAGAGGTTGGCGAGTAAAGATAGTGGGGTGGGGGACTGTAGGGGAGGGAGATTATGGAAAGAGGAGGGATGGGAGAGGAGGTGGTGGTAATATATAATTGGAATGATTATGAGGATAGGAGGAGCTGGTATGAGAGGTGATGTGAAGGGGTTTATGACAACGATATGATTTATGACGGAAAGAAGGAAAGACGGATGGGTATACATTTACAAGGATGGAAGAGGGAAGGCATGCATTATGATGGGAAATTTCTGGTTGATTTTGCCTGCTCTCATCTGGTTTAATTTGTGCAGATGAGTACCTCGGGGTTTCATCTCTCTCTCTGTCTGTCTCTCTCTCCCTCTTCTTTGGGTGCGGGGATACATACTCCAATTACCTGCAATTTGGCGGTGATGGGATGGGATGGGATGGGATGGGAAATCTAGATCTGGATGGGAATATAGTATAGCATAGCGCGTAGCTTGTCTTGTGCAGGATGTAGGTATTTACATACTTATTTATTGTATATATGTATATATTATATGCATGTGTATGTGTATGTGTATGTGTATGTGTATGTGTATGTATATGTATACATTCAATATATCTTTCTACTCGATTATTATTTGTGTTTGGTATATAATAGTTGATTTATAATGGTTGAGATATAGTAATTTATATATAATAATTGATAATTGATAATATATTTTTCGGCTTTGAGATTTGAGATTTGAGATTTGAGATTTGAGATTTGAGATTTGAGATTTGAGATTTGAGATTTATACTTTAATAGAAAAAGCCTGTTGAAAATGTTTAAGAGTGTTTGAGAAGGATGAGGAAAAAGGCGAAGGGGAGGTTAAAAGGGAGGAGAGAGGAAGAAGGAGAAGAAGAGGAAGAATTAAATTCTTCTTATTATATTGATTTGTTCATCTTTCGGAATCCAGGGTTTAGAGTGATCTTTTGAGGAGGTACGTAGTAAGTCATCCTTGGGGTTTGTTTGTGGAAGATTGGGGGGTGTGGAGGATGGGGGATGAGGGAAGGGGGAAGGGGAATAAGGGCATGGGGGTATGGGGGTTAGATTGATGGTAGGGGATGGGAGATCCGGTATAGGAAATGAATGGTAATTGAACAGGTGATTTGGGAGTTGGTGTATTGGTTATTATTATGAGTTTCTGGGAGGAGGAGGAGGAGGAGGAGTAGATATACGTTTATTTCAATGTATTCATATATATTCATGTGTATATATATTAATGAATCATGAATCAATGAAAATTACAATATACCAACTCATCCAGATAACTAGATACAAGAACTTGAATCCCCCCCCAAAAATAAGGACTTGGCGATTTGGTTTAGGAGAAGAAGAGGAAGTGGATAGATTCTAGATGGGAAGCTGGGAAGCTGGGAATGGTTTTGCTGTGATGTGATGGGAGTGGAGAGTTGGGTATTCGATATCGATATGAAGTTGAAGGTGGGTGAAAGAGGGAGATGGGATTTTCTTGATGTGTGTTGGGTGGATGGATGGTTTGGTAGGTATTTGATGTTGGAGTTGGTTGGAGTTGGTTGGAGAAGGGAACGGGATGAGATGGAATGGGATGGGATGGGATGTGGTTTGATTCTGGTGGATGAGCTGGAAGAGGTTTTGGAATACTAGTATATATAAAAGAGGCTGAATTGATAGATGGGGTTGAGTGGTTGTAGAAGAGGGATTATAGATAGGTAAGTAAATAAGTAGATAGATATGTAGATAGATGTAGGGTGATTATAGATAAAAAAATATTTTTGCTATGTCTATTAAGAGTTAGATGGATAGAATGATTTGGGATGTATATTTCTATTGTAAAATCGAGGTTCTATATCTATATGTGTGATGGAATATTGAGAAGGTTATAGTTCAGTGGAGGGTGGTGGGATGGGCGATGGAATATAAGTTATTGAATGGGTAGATGTTAGATACCAGCTGGAGAGGTGTTTTAAGTTGACTTCTTGGTTATACTGTCATGATACTTTTGGATGTGCTTGAGATTGGACTTGGAGATTGGAGATTGTGGAAAGGAGTCTGAAGTATATCAGGGTAGGTGCGTGGTGTAGTTAGGTATATAGGTAGTTGATATATTGGTGAGCAAGAATATGGTTGACTAAAGTTCTACTACATATATATTACTTTGCGAGATGTGATTGATGATGTCACACATACTTAGCATGTATTTTTGCTATCAGAATTAGTTCGCAGGATACTGTACGATCAAATAAAAGAATATCTAGCAAGCAAGCATTCATCCTATTGTTCAATCCCTTACCTAGGTCGATGTCCTGCTTGTCCCTTTGGAATCTCCCCAGCCTGAAATGTCAAAAGACTTCCTTCTTAAGCTCTAACAAACAAACATATCGATATTGTAAAGTTCACATAAGTTTAATAAAAGTCTTAGAAAGCCCTATCACATGCTAGGTACGTAGTAAGTAGCTTTCATTCAATATCCCCATCAACTATTCAAGTGAAGCACTCCCACCACACCAAACCACACCACTCGAACGACTAAGCAATCCAAAACAGCAAATCCAAAACCAGATCCTACAAACCACACCCTCGAGCATCTTAGTGTCTCGGCGTCCTAAGTGGGATTAGCTCCCACAAATACAATTTTCGGAAATTAGGAACTGCTTTGTGATTCTTTCCTTGGGTTTGTTTCCACGATTACAACTACAACTTCTTTGACTTTGACGCAACGATCTTTCAACGAATTGCCATAGTTTTTGGTTGCCAACAACACAATGATATTGTTTATATATATATAGAGATGATTGAAGATTCTTCTTGAAGGACTGTAAGTTCTCTTTCTCTTCTTCTACGTCTTTTTCAACCATCTTTTGTATCTTGAGTCGCCGTCAACTTCAACTCTAACTCTCAATTTCGAGGCTTGAGCCTGCGCTACAGGCAGATGAATTTACTTTCACTGCGTTGATAGGTTGCAGTTGTGCTTGTTCGCAGTATTCGTCAATTAATCTTGATGGTACACTGATGATGATTTGGTAGGAACGAACTTCTTATTCAGTTACCTCGAGCTGATCACTTGATCTGCAAGATCGGAGGAGTGCTGCAGCAGGTGAGTTATCAATCAAACAACTATGAACTTGCTTGGCTAACTTTGAAATTGCTGCTAGATCAGACTTCGAACACTTGGACTTCTGAGCACCAGAACTGCAAAGATCGAGGACGCAGAATTACTCTGGCTTTCGCTAATTCTTGAATGAATCCTGTGGTCTCCGGCTTGCGCCGTTTGGCAACAAGCTCGTCGCTGTCGTCGCCGACGATAGCATAACGTCATGAGAAGAAGTAAGTTACAACTACGTCTTCCTATCTTTGAGCTTTGCTAACTCAAACAATAGGCGTCGTCATGATGTAGCCTGCACACAGACAGAGCTGTAAGTCAAATACAAGCTCGTGCCTACAGTTGTCCATCGTCTGCAAGCTTTTTTTGACACAATCTCACCACCATAGAGAAAATTTGGGTCTTGGCAGAAGCACATCGAGAATCTGTAACGAGAGATATTACTACGTTCAAGATCAGCGGTGAGTAATTGATTCCAACAATTACCTCTCATTGCTAACTTAGAATCAGTGCTCCTTCGGCTATATCGGTCGGTAAAGAGCTTGGCGGTTCGGACGGCATGATCGAACATGATTCTGGAAGCGATGAGAGGAGCCGACGTGAACTCGGCACTTCATACTCTGGCTAGAGTAAGCGTTGGTGTTCCTCGTTCTGATAAACTTCTCTCGTTGACACACGCTAATTCCCATATCTGTCGTCAGAAACAAGACAACATTGATCCAGGGCTTCAATCACTTTCAGATCAGCAAACAAAATGTACCACCAATCACCGTCATACTCACTCCGGTGCGGCTCGGCGCCGGCTCTGATGCTCAAGTGGCAACGCCGGGGTGGGTATATGATAGAGAAATGAGTTGGGTGGATGTTTCTTCATGGTATGTATTCAAATCCTTGTTGTGGATTGTGTGCACTTACTAACCTTTTGATAGGTATTGGGCATTGAACAATACTGAACAACACATCCAAGAGACACGTCTCGGCACGAGTGATAATATCGGAATGAATGGGAAGAAGAATTTAGTGGTTTGTTCAATATAATAGCAGCATATTTTACCTTTTAGGTTTCTCACTGATTGCCGTGATCGTCACAAAAATGACAAGAAAGTGATCCTTGTTTCTGGTATGGGATTTGTGAAATGCATGGCATATCCATCACCTCACCGCGAACGATCCAACTTTTCAATAGTTGTGATCGTGAGGGATGATGCTACATTTGTGTGTATGGTGCTGGTGGTAGTATTTGCAATGAGATTCGGAGAATGTAAGTCTTCTTCTTACCCATTTCCTTGGCTTACCAACCACTAACAATTCATCAGACTTATACTTCCCGTCGCCAAATCTTGGCAATTCATCCTGGGGTCACTCCCAAAACTCCGTCACAACCTCCACGCCTATCTACTCGCCAGGCCATATCGGCTGCTTGCCTAATGATGACCAGTACAAAGTACTTGGACCACGCGTCCAAGACTTTTGAACGCCTGTAAGGGTGCTTTGTCTGCTATGGATGGGTTGGGTTGGAATTTACAAACCAATGTTCCAGCTCAACCCATCCATGTACCATGGCACGAAGATGGGTTGTCTGGTCAATCCCGACATTGATATGTGGCGGTATCTCCTTCGGCAGAGTAGTTGGTAAGTTTCATCGCTCTTCCTTTGGTGTCTGATATGAGAAGCTGATTTTAGATAGGATAAAATAGATCACCATCTCGATGAATAGTCTCCTCGAAGCAATTGATGGTTAAACGGATCCCGTTGACGGCGATGTAGCGGTTTTAAAATATCTCAGAACTGCATTGAGTTTCCTGCACAGCATTGTCTGTCTCTCAATACTCACAACACTCATTTGTAAGTTTTCTAGTTTTGAGTTCATTACCATGGTGAATTTTTTATACAGATATATGCTCACGAAATGGTAGTCGGATCCAGTACTTGAAACCTCCTCTGAAGTCCTTCATTGATTAAAAGACAACTTCAGTGGCAATTCCTCTTGGCTCCGGTCATTGAAAGAGTCCTGTTGATCTTCTCGGAAGATCGGTCTACTCTCAGAGTGTACTGCACATCTCATTCGTCCGACATTATGATCAGTCGATGATGCAACCTTCTGGTGGTGATTCAATGTATGTACTAATGCCTCACATTTTCACCACACAACTCTCTTGTTGGTTGGTAGTAACATATTTCCAGCTCGACACGACAATAGAGAAAGGCGACGAAGAGGCCAGATCACCAACTCTAGCCTATAGAGAGAACGAGAAGATGGGAGGGAGGTTTCTTTCGACTTTTTAAGAAAGACTCAAGGATAGACGGTGAGAACCGAGAACCGAGAACTGCGCCTCTTACACCTCTACCAGGGGCGGGTGTTCTGGGGCGATGAAACAGTCGTGGTGGAAAACTGTCGTTACTGCTGCAGCAGACATTGTATATAGACAGCCATAGGAAATGAAATGGTGTTCCCCGTAGCCGCTTCGGCGTGCGTCTTCATATGTATTGAGTGATATTTATGGTGTGGAGAAATTGAAATGGTTGTCTTTTGCTATCGGTAAGTTTCTTTGTCGTTATTACTGATTGGTTGCTAATTGTCTTTGTAGGTAGACAGTCGTGTGTGTTATGATGAGTTTTCGTGCTGGGATATTTGAATGGAATGATAGGATTTTAAGAGGTATATCATCATGCCCTATTCCGAACCCCAACCTCGTGCTAATAGAATTCTACCAGCTCCACTCCGCCACTTGGTTTCATGACAGGAGATGTCAGTCACGATCTAGCAGCTTTCCCCATCGACAATCTTTTTTCTCATGATGGCTGAATCAAAGCACGATGCTAGGGAAGTTCAAAATCGGAACTTCTTCCACAGAGAGGCCGCATATCTTAGCCCTTTCTGGCCAGTTATCAATTAAGTCAGGAGAGCACTTTTCGACTGAGGTTGTTGCAACCGGTTCCTCGGGAACTGAAAACAACACTGCTATCCTGATTTTCGGAAGAAATGTCAGCAAGAACTCGCTACTAGCATTGATTCTATCCTCATTGCTGAGGTGTATAACCAAGCACTACCCCACGATCATGATGTGGCTCTTAATTTCCATAGAGAGCTTCTCGAAGTCGTCACATTTGCTTGCCAGTCCAGGAAATTCACGACAACTTGCAAGCCATTGTCCAGAAGGAACATTTGAAAGCATCCAAATTCTTGGAGTGAATAGCCACCACCACGCAACTTCATTAGTGCCGTGGAGAGATTCTCCTTGATTCGCCACATTTACCTTCCCTGTGCAAGAATTCCATGACAACTTCCAAGCTATTGCTCGAGTTGTCCAGAAGGAACATTTGAAAGCCTCCATACCCCTATGGGTGAAAAATAAAGCACGACCCCTCCATTTTGGGTGTCACGACAACCTGTGCAAGAATTCCATGACAATTTCCAAGCTATTGACTGAACGGTCCAGAAGGAACATTTGAATGCCCCCTATTTACCGGGTGCGAGACCAAACGCCCCCGCTTGATTATGGGCTCTCGCACCCCATCAAACCAACCATAATCGAAACCGATCCTTCCCTTGAAACATGCCCCGCTTACATCGCCGCTACATCCTTAAGTTCCAAGCGCCGCGGTTTCCGTCATTCCTGGATAGCATCCATCAATGGGTTCAACTTCATCGGTTTGGGTGTTGGTGGTTTGGCCTTCACCATCCAAAGCTAGTTCCTATGAATATTGTACTTGGAAATACGAGCTTTGAAGTTGTTCTTTATGGGCGTCTAATTGAGGAAGTTGGAGCGGGTGCGTGCATTGTTAATAGACAAGAGTGTATGGATTGGAAAGATAAGTTTGAGGGGGACTTTGAAGAGCGGATGCTGTTGAGATTCTCCAAGATTCGCCATGTTTGCTTTCCGGTTCAGGAATTTCGCGATAACTCCCAATCTTCTAAGATTGTTCAGAAGGAACATTTGAATACCTCAACAGTCTTCCGGCTTGCTGGCGACTTGCTGCCAGGAAACAGAACGAGAGGTTAGCGTTGGAGCGACGGCTAGCAGAGCCGCACTTAGTACGACGCTCTCTGCCTACTAGAAGGAGCATTGGATTTTTTAGTAACATGAAATTCAATTACTAGATTGTCCAGAAGGAATATTTGAATGCCTCAGCAATTGCTCGGCGCTATTTTCCTGCGCCTGTTGTTACGGGCAGACAAATACTGGCCTGAACCCATCAGAAACTCTTGGTCAACGTTTGGATGATCATGCCGGAGTGGGGGGTAGATCTGGAAAGTACGCGTCGGAGGAAAACTAAGCGGGAGCACAAAATCGTAAGTTTTTGCCGATAAACAGCCTTCTTGTCTTCATCGCTGATCCTATGTTATATATAGATCCTCGCAATTGTCCAGAAGGAACATTTGAATGCCCCAACAATTGTCCGGCTTTCTGGCGACTTGCTGCCAGAAAGCAAGATGAGAGACTGGCGTTGGAGCGGCGTCTAGCAGAGCCGCACTTGGTGCGACGCTCTCTGCCAAATAAAAACAAATGGAGCATTGGCTTTTCCATAAATTTTGCATCTAATTCCTTGCTTGTTCAATATCACCCTCGTGTTCTGTTTTGGGTGGTTGATATTGGAAGGGGTTTCAAGGTGGTATGAGATTGAACGAAGTCTTGCATCATTTGTTGGTGGCCCCGTGGGGTTGCGGACACAAGGGTGGAGGGGTTGAAGATGAAGAAGGTAAAGAGATTGGCGGGATTTTGAGATTATGATCATGTATAATGTGTTGTGGTAGTTTTACTTCACATAGCAATATATTCCGTTCTCTCTAGCCGCTTCGGCGTGGCTTCTTGATGTGTTTCTTTGAGGTTCGTATCTCTCGTACACTGATTTTGCTTGACTTTTTTTTCAGGTTATAGCTGACAAATAACAGGAAAAGGAGAGTGACGAGCTCTAGGATGCAGCAACACCAAACTAAGCTTGAAGGTTGAAATGACGCTCGAACAGGCATGCTCCTCGGAGTAACCAGGGAATATGCTGGATGTTTGATGCAGATACCAGCGGGTGCTCACTTCTTTTGAGGTAAATGGATTTGGCGACAGATTTTTTGGAGTAGATTTTGGCTAATGATGATGAAAGTAGCTTTGGAGCAGTACGGCGATATCCATGTCTTGAGATGGGACAATTACCACGAATCTTTGGAGGAAATATCAGTATCCTAGACCATGATCTCCGTCTTGGAGATAATCTTGAGATCATCTGTCCGGAATTCGAGAGAGTTCAAGAGAGAATTATCTCTCTGCGCGTTCCAGTATTCCTCAAAAGCAAAGCAAGAAGAAGAAGGCAAGGCGTTTGGGACCTTGTCTTCCTGGCTTTGGGAATGAAGAGGCGGGGGTACCTGCTCCAAAAGCTGTCATCAAGATAGCTAGATAGCGAACATCTTGAGAACCGGGAGCAGTGTGGCTGGCACACCATATAAGCTTCCTGTATGAAAAGGCAACCGACACGTTTCCGCGCGTGATATCGGCATGGCATTGCCAACAAGATCGACTCCCGATACTACCTTGTCGCTCCGACGGTTTTCATATCTGACACTCAAGTGATCTGTGAATATTCTTCATTGATCCTCGGAGATACAAAGCTACCTACACTTCGCTCGTCCCTCGCTACAATATTACACATTGAGCAGGGACCTACGCTCTTCTTTTTCTCCGGAAGAGGAGCTTAGCGAAGCCGAGAAACGCATTCAAAAGACAAGCATTTCCGAGATTGTTAACAAGCTTGAGCTTTGCTTGAGTGCTGGAGTTGCAACTCCAGATCCTGCTGGCTTGCTTTACCTCTGCGACGGGCAAGGTAACTGGGGACGTTCAATGATAACAATGCTGAGCAGCAGGTTATTCGTATCAGAATGATCAAACAAAGTGATTCCAAGTACGGCTCTTGCTGCAAGACTTACCGGCAAGGTAACTGGGGACGTTCACGCTACGCATCCTTGGCCCAAGGGCCCGAGTTTTTGTTTGGTCGGCGAGAGGAGAAGACAAAGCTCAAAACCCCAAGGTAAGTTCCCTATTCCACCAATTCATTTGGTCCAAACACTCATTATAATTCTAGGTTGCCAGATGGAGTTTATTCAGCTATCCTTGCTATAGGAAGGCTACGGCAAGCAGAAAATTTCTGGGAGACAATCGCTCATTCTCCGTCTGATACTTCAGGTCATGATTCTTCGGGATGCACTGAATGGTTCTGTGACAAGTCCAATTGTATAGCATCCAGACGAAATGTATCCAAAAGGGCACAACTCGAGGGGAGCAGCCGTTGACTAATGGATGTTGTTGCTTCTTTTGCAAAAATAATGTATATAAGGGCATGACCCCAACCATGCAGAAGATGAGTTTGAAGCTTGAGAATAATATCATTTGCCAGAATTTCAAAAACCATATTCCTTCATCTCGTTTTGGTTCCATATTGCAATCTTGATTCGACCTAATAGGAAGACGCTGGAAGGATTAAGAATGGGAGTCTGCGGGTATTGAAAGGTTGATATGTGTGATTGTTCCTAGTAATAAGACGAAAGTAGTGAAGCCAAATTTAACGTCAATGAATTTCAGATAACAACGAAAGACCTTCTCCACCAGGCGTGTTTTGCTTGACGATATAATGACATCTCTCAAGAAAATCCATAATTCATGCTTACCATGAAAGGTAGAGAGCCATTGAGGAGTATCGTTCTCGCCAGTTTCGTAGAACCATATTCAGGAAATATCGCCATGTGAGGAAAGCAAACGTAGAACAATAAACATCAACTTGCCAGAGCTTGAGCAGACATCGCCTGAATTTTTCTTATGAGAAACTCTATCTATATAAAGTATCTGCTTTCATCGGCAATAGACATGCAAACATTGAGTTGAACTCTGGAAGGAAGCAGAAGCAGAAATAAAACGTCGATTTATATCATCCTGATACATCCTCCGATGGAATGGGGTATATTCAACTCTGCTAAATAACTAGACATCTTGAATATATTTCAATAAGACGATGCCAAATAACAACGAATGGAGATGTGATCAAACGAAATACTTCGTCTGTACTGGTGTATATGTTGTCCCGTTGCCAAACATATCTTTTGAAAAAGGGTCTCTTGACATTCAAAGATGTATATGATGAACATTTTCAACTCATCCAGAGTATGATAGATATTGTTCATTCACAGCTGCTGAAGACTTACAAGAAAAAATGAATCGTTCATTCTCTCTCATCCACACTTATCCATTCCATCAATTCAAATTGTGAATGCCGAAACCGAGGAAGTGAAGTTGAGGGCCGTGCAGTACTTATCTCAATCACGTGCTCACAGACAATTTAGAGGATCTTATCAACACGGTTTTCATTTGCAGTAAGCCGTATTCATACTAGCGTCTTACAGCTACTGTGCCTTCCGATAATTAAGCGTTCAGGCTTACCATTCACAGTACAACAAAGAGTTTAAAGAGTTTGTCAACTTCGCCCCAAGAGTCCTTCTTTCTATTACATCTCCATCTTCATCAACGTTCTTTTCGACATCAACACAACCACAACTTCACGTCTTTACGATCAGGTTTTCGCATCAAAAGAATTTGTACAATTGGAAAAGATATTCACACTGTCGGGAAAGAACTTAAGGAAAAGGAAAACAATTGATTTGGAGGGAAAAGAAAAAGAATAATACAAAGAAGAGAGAAAGAAGAGTGGATCATCTTGGTGGTGCAAAATTGTGTTTGGTCTTGTGGAGGACAGCGGCAGTTTTCAAAGAAAGAAAGAAACATCACAATAGCAGTATTATCTGCAATCTTGTACAATCATTTCCTTTTGAGAGAGCTTTTTCTGTGTCACCAGAGTTATCTCCAGTGATCGCAATCATACTTGATTTCACTTCATTTTCTTGAACGGAGAGAAGAATCTTGATATTGCACCGGTCGCATTCACGAAATATCCCTTCTACCCTTCCATATTCCATCATATTAACTTATTCCAAGTGTTTACTTGATCTTATTGAGTGCATTGGAAGAGTAGTTTGTTTCTCTGTACACGCCAACGAAATCGATTTATTCAACTCGAGGATCAACAACTTCTTTACAACTCCACCTTTTGATCAACTTAACCAACAGCAGTCATGACGTCCTCCGTGTTCTTCAAGTTCAGATCCCAAAAGGAACCCTCTAGAGTTGAATTTGATGGTACTGGTATCTCCGTATTTGAACTCAAGCGTGATATCATTATCAAGAGCGGATTAGGTGACGGAACCGATTTCGATCTTCAGATTTACAATGAGGCAGACAACGAAGGTAAGGATTTGTTGTATCCCAAACTAGATATTGATTCTGATGCTGACCAATACAGAATATGATGACGATACGACCGTTATCCCACGATCAACCTCGATCATCGCTCGTCGATTGCCCTCCATCAAGCCGGGAGCAGGAAGAGCTGCTAGGTACATGTCGGGACAAATGCCAATAAAGCAAAAGAATTCGTCGCGAAAAGAACAAGGAAAGCAGGCAAATGCAAAGGCAGTTGCATCTACACAAGGGTTGGCACAAATGAATAGTGCGATGACTGAGGAGGAGAAGATGGAAGCCATGTTTCAGGCTCAAAGTGATCAATGGACGGCACAACAAGAAGATATGGCCAAGTAAGTTAATTATTCTTTTCCAATCCAGTAATCTATTCTAACAAATCTTTAGTCAAACCCCAGTCTTCCGACCCGGTGGTAAGAAAGGTCAACCCCCACCAAACGTTCCAGATCATGAACCACCAACTGGTTATATCTGTTATCGATGTGGAGAGAAAGGACATTGGATTCAGGTCTGCCCTACGAATGATGATCCAAATTTCGATAACAAGGCTCGGATTAAGCGTACAACTGGTATTCCAAGATCTTTTTTGAAGACTGTAGAGAAGCCTGTTCAGTTGACCAATGATGGTACGGTGGATGATACTAAGACCCCATCTGGTGTGATGGTAAATGCTGAAGGAGAATTTGTCGTTGCTGAGCCTGATAAAGCTTCATGGGAACAATTTCAGGCTAAGACCAAGTCATCTGCTGCTGCCCAGAAAGCTGCTGCTTTAGGAGATAAAGTTTTGAGAGATAGAGGATTGGAATGCGCGCTCGACATGAGAATATTCATAGATCCAATGAAGACGCCCTGTTGTGAGAAGACGTATTGCAATGACTGCATTACTAATGCTCTTATCGAAAGCGATTTCACATGCCCAGGATGTCAGACTGATGGAGTATTGATTGATGATCTGAAGCCTGATGATGAGATGACCGAAAAGATCAAGACTTATTTGGCAGAGAAAGATGCAGCCGCCAAGAAAGAAAAAGAAGACCAAAGAGCTAAAAGTCCTAGCGTAAAGTCTGAGGCTACCAAGACGCCCCCCCAATCTAAAGCATCAATAATTGCAGGAAAAGCCAAATCGCCAACACCAAAGCAATCACCTAAATCAAAGTCACCAGAAGTTTCAAAGCTTTTGAAAAATAGTCCCAATCAAGGAAAATCAGTTACCCCAGTTGTTAGTGTTCCTGGTGCTCCGTCAGGACCTCAGGGTAAAAAGCGACCTGCAGATGAATTACTCGAGAATCCAAAAATTCCCAAAGGACCAAAAGCTATGCGCCAAAAGGAATCTGCCATGAACCCACAACAAAACATGATGAACGGAATGAACGCAATGAATGGTATGAACGGGTTCCCAAATATGAACAACATGCAACAACAATTCTACGGCAATGCAAATGGCTTCAATAACGGCATGCCAAATATGAACATGATGAATCAATTCGGTATGGGAGGTATGAATCCAATGATGGGCATGAATCCTATGATGGGTATGAACTTCCCGGGTATGAACAATATGCCTATGTTTAACAACGCAAATGCATTTGGTAATATGAATCCCATGATGAATGGGAATATGCCACAAATGAATGGAATGGGTAGAGGAATGAATGTACCAAATGGTGCAGCAGCTGGATTTCCTAACCAACAAAAGACTGTTTTTGCGGAACCTTTACCAAACGAAGAAGATAATGCATATTTCAGAAAACCGGTCAATCCTCATAGACATGTGGGAAGACAGAGGAGGGCGAGACCGAGTGATTACCGGGAACTTTGAGTGGTTTATGTGATATCAGAACTGGTTTCCCTTGTTATCATCGGCTTCAAAAGAATATCAAGGAGCTCTTGCTTCAAATGAAAAATGACGGCTGGAGAACTGATACAACATCTTGATACCAGCACATTGGTTTTTCCACAAAACCAATTCTTCTTAGAATTTGGCTGCTATTATCTCTTGCTTCAGATTGCCAAAACTCAACTCGACATATTCAACATCAATCAACATCAATCAACATCGTCACAAGGCTTTGCATCGCAGTGCAGAATTCTTTTTTCGCATAACGCTTTCTTTCTTTTTTTCATCTTCTCTTCTCCGACTCTTTACTCTCTTCTCTTTTAAATTATACGCACGAAACGAAATACACTAGAAACAAATGGATATGGGGTGGGCGTGGCATTGGGAGGCATATTGCGGCTTACATGTAGTTCGCTTGCTACAGGCAGAAACAGGCATTTTTGGTGTTAAGGATTTTACTTTGGGTTATGTACCATTGGGTTTGGGATTTGCGATTTGCAATTAGGATTGCAGTCTGGGTTGTCATGGATATCGTTGCATTTGCATCTGCATTTGAGGATGGAAGAAGGGAGGCATTTTCATGATTATGGTGAATGATGGGGTGGGTGGGCTTTTGATAGGAAGGGCGAGTTATGGGGGTGCGGAGGAAAGGGGGATGAAGTACATAAAATGAATTGGGGTACATATTTGCAGATGAGAGATAGTAGATACCTTTTTGCGAGAATGGCGAAGCGAATGGACATTTTATCTGAATACCTAGATACCTGATGTGGTCTATGTGATCGTGATCGTGATGTTACGTTATATGATGTGTAATATGCTTTGTGATGATCGACAGGTTTTCGATTAATGTACTCGTATGTATTCATACTTTTTTGATAGAGAAGCCAATATTCAGCGATGTTATTATTCACTTCTACCAAAACCTTTTTTTCTTTCTCATCCATTCTTATGGAATTTCCTATCATTCCCATGCTATTTCATCCCATACAATCTCATCCCTTTTCAACCTACCCCATGTTATCTCTTCTCATCTCTCCACAGTTCTACGAAAGAAAATACCATCTTATCTTATCTCATTTACTTATGAATACATCTACGAAGTGCCAGGAAAACGTGTTGTGTTGTGTACGCACGGAAATGCTTATG